ATTCACATCTAAATGCAGCACTTTTTTTTTGCAATTTGTTTTTATTCTAAAATATCTCAATTACTTTCAATAAAGCTGGAAATTATGTTCCTTAAAATAATTAAACAAATAAGGCACCAATGTTTTTGTAAGATATTTACATCTTTTAAGGACATTTGGTAGACTGATTCCCCACTGTTGGTTCAACCCCAAAACTTGTTTGTATTCAAAATGAATTATGGCAATGCATATTTATATCGAAACAAACTATGATAAAGGGAATTATATTATATAACAAAGGGCAAGGTCACCAGAGTTCAACTATGTTTTTATTTTAGTTTGGGCAACACGAATCGTGATGCCTAGCGACACTGAAAGTCGCCATACTTAGGAAAAATGGTCTGCAAATTAGTTACTATATTTCCGTGTGCCATATAATCGCTACCAAGGCACATTCATCCTCCAAGTATTCTCATACCAATATAATGTCTTCTATCTAAAGTCAAAAACTACGTTATGATTACATACCACAACAAGTTCTTTGGAAATATGATTACAACAGACTACTGGGGCCCAAATGATTCCTTTAAAATACTTTATTTTAGCTGGAATCGATTTTCCCTGAAAAGAACTTTTGGTGTTTTGTATGGCATTTATTTTCACTGATTTTTGGTGAGTTGAAAGTAAAATATAGAAAAAAGGATATATTCGCTGTATTTTATCTTCACTGACTCGTTCCTTCAGCGAAATTAGCGAAAATTAATTCCAAGCAAAAATAAAGTATTTTACAGTATGCAAAACAGATTTAGCGAAAGCAATGTCAAATGAGTTCAAATCTTATGGAATAATGGGTAATTTATATTCCTGCATACACAACATATTCGGTACGCTGATTTGCATAGAAAGATATTTAACATACCAGGTATAAATACTTCTCGGCCAAATTGGCCAATGAACGTGTATAATTGTATTTCACTTTACACGTTGTCACGGTACACGGTACACACACCATTATAGATAAGAGTTTCTTATTTTAGAGTTTTGGGGAAAGCTTGATATAATCCCCACCTATCAGAATAACTGTTATTTAATGCCATTTTTAGAACCGATTGACACATGCGTATTCTATCAGTATCATTCAGAACATTGTATTACATGCGAAGCTGGAATATATGACTGGGTACACTGTGTAATAGTGATACTGGAGCCCTACATATATTCAATACTTCATTGATGTAGCAACCTATAGTGTGTACGATCTGTTACTGTTGTTTTTTTCAGTATTATCGAGCACAAATCATCAGGTAGGAAAATTCTCATATTCTAAATTTATCATTTCATAGCACTGAATTTTTGACATGCTGGTACTTTGATTAGCCGTCCCAGAAAATCTCATTTGATGCACACACATATCAAAACAACCGATGGTACACATAATTACGAAAGGTTGAATTAAAACTTTGGTTACTGTTGCTAGAAACTTTGGAGATATATTAATTAATTTAATAATGTAACACATACAGGACCGAATACATAATATATATAGATAACAAATCCGCTACGCCTAATGCTATTCAAGATTTTCCGTTCAACTGCGAGATCTCGCGTATTATGTGAAAAACGCGGGCTGAACGTCTTCCGCAAAAATCGAACGATTTGATTTTGAATTCAAATTTCTTTTTCTTTCATAGCTTAAAGTCGAAAGGCCGATCTTTGAAATAGGAATATTGTGTTTAGATGCCCTTACTTCATCGAAATTGCCTATCATCAAATGTGTACATAACATTATTGAGCATTGAAATATCCCCAAAATACTTTCGCGTTTGTCGAATCCCTCGCGATGTTTGACGCCACTACGACGCTATGACCTTTGTTTGTCCTGTTTTTACGTTCGATTGCACGCATAATGCGGGATTTCGCATGAAGGAAAATGTCTATTGACATACATGCAGCATGAACTAGCATGACTTATTCACGTATATTTCTATCGAACAGAACGATAATTAATAAAACATTTCAACCATTTTTTTTAATTTCATGATCTAAATAGAAACTACACGTTGATTTGTTGCTTATTGTCTGGAGGAAATAAACACAGATTAGGTTTAGCAGAGACACGTTTCTATGATGTCAATGTTCTTTCCACTTTATGTGTAGCAGAACACCGGCCTATGAGACTGGCTTATACGCTCATTGCACGTGACATTTGAATAGTTGCACGGCATAGTTATTTGTTAGTTCATGACAATCTTCTGTCTGCAATGTTGAAATGGACATCTACAAAAACACGTGTACACAACCATAACATTCAATGATATAAATTAGGTTCCAAGACAATTCAAGTTATGCAGCAAATGCCAATAAATCTCAACTTTAGAAGAAATTTAATCTGCACTACCTGTGTAATAATAACCTTGTATAGCTACACGCTCAAAGGAAATGTCAATACTGCTATCTCAATATCGCACGGTATTAGCTGCGTATAACTCCTAGTTATCATTTCTAGTATCAGTTTATTGATAATATGCATTAGTACACAAATAATTTATCATATAATTTTCTCGGTAATATATGACAGTATAAAATTATTTTCTGTCCAATAACAATGATACACAATTTTGTCTACTACTCTCTTAGCTTCCAATGTGTCACTTTGTAGTCTAGCAGTATAGCACAGTAACCTATTTCGCAAATATCTATTGCAACAATAATTTTATATATCTGATTTTTTCCTCTTTTCTTCAGATAACACAGTGCAATCACCCATAGTAAAAACTATTATTGAAGGCTGGCGACAGAAGAGATTTAAAATGGAAGTTGAAAATGAGAAAATGGAATATTCACAGAGCAAATGGAGGAAATGTGCTACAGAGTTATACTCACACACTGGCTTAATACTCGCATTTATTTCAAGTATATCTTTTTCCGTGAGTTTTATTGTAGCCAAACTAGTTACCACGGTTCACCTCCTCGAGGTGGTGTTGATCCGTGTGTTACTTTTATTCAGCTGTGCTGTCCCATTTATGGCTTACCAAAACTTGACTTTTCTTGGATCGAACGACCTCCCCAACATCTGGTTGGTTGTATCGAGCCTTGGTGGGAGCTGTGTAATCGTATGTGCATTTATTGCGATTGAAC